GCAGGAAAAACGACTGCGATGGTACGGGCATGTGAGTAGAAGAGATGAGAACCACATCACAAGAATGGTCTCTGGAGGTCGGAAAAAGGTCACGGGGAAGACCAAAGATGAGGTGAATGAACAAAGTCAGAGCTGATCTGAAAGAGCTTACTTGGGATAGACGAACATCATGCCTTATATCGAGAATACTGGAGACAGTTGACTCGTACAGCAGACCCTGTGTAAGCGGGAAAATGTGAAGATAAAAGAATAAAATTGTAATTGGGACGAAAATGTTGAAATTCTAAAAAAATTGATGTATGAAGAAGACTCGACTTTCTGAAGAGTTTAGCAGTCGAGCAATTTTGCCAAAAGTAGATAAGATACAGGTTATTCTGAATGATCGTCAATAGAAAAGTGGCAATGATTGAACTTATGAGGTAAGCGAAAAAAATATTTGGTGGCTGTCCAGATCTGATTGCAAACCTTTACTTAGGGCAGGGGATCAACATCCCCTTAGAGGAGGGGATGTTAGTCCCCTCTCTTGGTGCTGACGGAGGAGAAAAGAGGGAAGCTTCAATGAGGTCCATAGCACATCTTTACTTGGGGCATAATTTTTACTAATATAAGTACTAAAGGAGATATAATCCAGTTTTTTGGAATGTACTTAGGCGGCAACGTAAACACCCACCCGTTCCGCTTCTAGGGTGATAGTTGCAAAATTACTCCACGTTGTATTCAAACTATTGATTATATAATGCACTACAGCAGAGAACAAAATGAAAAATCTTCTCTTCCTCTTCTTCCCTCCGTTAACCCCTGAGAGGGATAGCCCCCTAAAGGATCAACTGCCCTCGCCAGCGGGGATCATGCATACCACCCTAAAACAGTAATCCAAACTTCAATTGTGCTACCTAAGTTGCTTTGCAGGAAATCTGATGGAACTTAAATAGACTTTAAAGGATCACGAGTCCCTCACCAACTTCAATCTCTCCCACCGGAGATCTTGCTTAATTATTAACGCTCACTTTCTGCTAAGTAGGAACTTCTCTGCTTCCCTCTCCAGAGGAGATGTCATGCGTAAGTCCTTGTAGCTCAATTCAAGATAGAAGTAGATTCATTGAAAATCAGACTTCGTAAGCATGCTGATATTTACTACATGTTAGACAGCTATAGATGTTAGCAGGTTAGCTACTCAGCGTTTTTAACCCCCTTAGCAACTACTTTGCTATTCACGCACTTGGACTTTGGACGGAAACTTTTGGATATTGGTAGTCAAACCTCGTTCAATAGCGAGCCAATAAATATTAGTTTTCTTTGTCGATCTACAGCTAATGCTGAGGGTGACGATAGTCCGGATTCATGCAGACTCACATTTCTACCGTCGAAAAAGTACAATGCACCAAAACTGCTCTATAACGAGAGGATTAAGTAATTCAGTAAAAAGAGAGAATCGCAATGCGACCTGCATGAGTAGCTCAGCAGTCTGTAATTTTCCTTTGCCCATGTAAGCCAGATTGGTAACAAAAAATCGATCTGCTCCAACGACAACAATGTCATATATGCTGCAATTACAGGCATATACCTCTCTATATAGCACACGATAATAATCTGGCTAGAGGAGCAGAATATGATTGTCTCAAATGTTGAAGATTCATTATTTCGAAGTAAGGTCATGAGAAATGGCACTTCTTGTTAGAGAAAAATAGAACAGCTGACAGAGGAAAAATAAATAATCGTTAGATAGATAGGATAAGATACTTGCCTCGAAAATCGAACGTCGCAGACAGATTTTCTGTAGAATAAAACGTTCTTGTCCTTGTGATAGGTAAATATCTCCACACATTGTCTTTCTGGATGTGAGTTTACTACGTAGAGTAAAACGCGTCCTTTGCTGTAGTAAGATGAGATGCCGCGAGGCACGAACTTGCTCTGAATCACTACGTTTATGAACG